AGAAGTCGAGCGGGGTCATATTTCAGGGCCCAATGTATGGTAGTAGCTGAATCATGGATCACAAACACAGAACTCAGTTCCTGAGGACGGCTTCAATGAGACAACCCACCATGTACTCCTACATGGCCTCTCACCGACACCTTTTACCAAATCGTGTTCACACACTTAGCTCACACACAGTAGGACATGTTCACACGCCTCTGATTCATCCCCGATGAATCAGACCTGACTCAACTCTAAGCAGTAGCAGGCATGATAAACAAGCATGAATGAGTAGGCACAACAGGGCTCAAACAATTCCTACTCATACTAGTGGGTTTCATCTATTTACTGTGGAATGACAGGTCATGCAAAGGATAAAGGGGTTCAGCTACCGCAGCAAGTAACAGATGAATCGTTGTTGTCCTAATGCAGTAAAAGAGAGCAGGAGCGAGAGAGTAGGATTGTATCGGAATGAACAAGGGGGTTTTGCTTGCCTGGCACTTCTGAAGATAACATTGAGTCTTCATCAGTGTCAACGATCACATCATCGGTATCATGTCTATCGAGAGGGGACAAATACCGGCAACACAGAAGGGAACACAATCAATGCAATGCACAATATGATGCATGATCATGACATGGCAAAATGAATGTGTTTTGAGCTAATGCAACTAGCAACAGATTAAATGAAGTTGGTTTGAATACAAGATTCAAATTTAAACTCCATATGTGATTATTCAAATGCCATTTAATTGATTTGTGCTAAACAGCAGCTATAAGTTGTTCTAACATGCATGAAAATGGTACAGATGGATTCCTTGAATTTTTCTGATAATTTTTCATATATAAATTATTTAATTTGGAGTTACGGTTAATTTTCTATGAATTTTAGAAGTTTTAGGCATTTTCTGGAATTTCAGAATTAAATTAAATCCAGGAAATGAGTTATGACATCAGCACTGCGTCATGCTTGCATCAGCAAGTCAACAGGGCTGCCCCGGGTCAAACCTGACCAGGGGGTCCCATTAGTCAGTGACTTAGGGCTCGTTTAGGTCGCTGGCAGGTGGGCCCAGTCAACGACACGTCAGCACAGTCAATGTTGACGTGTGGGTCCAGGGTAATTAGATTAAACTTAATCTAGTTTAGTTAGCCAGTTAGTTAGGATGTGGGGCCCGGCTGTCAGTTTCACTGGAGGTTAATTAGTGGGGTCATCAGTGGCTAATGACGTACCACATCACCGGCCACCGGAGTTCGGCCGGCGGCGACCGAATCCGACGACGGAAACGCCCCGGGAAAGCGTTACAGGGGATGGTTTCGGGCGTGGTTTACGGCTATGGGTTGCTGGGCTTCGTGCGCATCCAGGGGTGGCAACAGCTCGAGCTGGGGTGGCCGGAGCTCACCGGAATGGAGCTCGCGGCGGCGCCGGAGTTCGGACCTCGGCGAAAACGGCGTTGTGGAGCACGGGCGAGTGAGGTAAAGCACTGCGCAGCCTCCTGGAGTCACCACGAGCTCGGTGAGATGCACGGGCGCGACCCGTTCGAGCTCAGGCCACGGCGGCGACATGGTCAGCGGCGGCCGGAGTTCGGCCGCGACGGGGCTATGGCCTAGAGCTCGCAAACGCGAGGGGAGAGAGAGGGGTTCTGCACGGAGGCTCACCGCGGAGCTGTAGGGAGGGTCAGTGGGCTCGGGGGCGCGCCGGAGTGGCCGAATTCGACGGAGACGGCACCGGGGCCGAAGCTCGGAGATGATGACGATGGCGGCTGCTCGGGGCCCTTCCGGTTACGTGGCTCGGTGAGGGGGTTGGCGACGAGGTGCAGGAGCTCGGGAGCACGTCGGAGAGGGGAGGGGGTGGCCGTGGTCATGGCTACGGCGAGCGGCGCTCCCAGGTGCGTTCGGTGACGAGAGGGAGGGAGAACAGAGGAGGAGGAGGGGGTCCAGAGAGAGAGAGACGGTCGAGGGGGGTCGAGGCCGTCTCCGTGGCGTCGCGAGGGGGTCGGGGAGGCTGCCACGGCGAAGCAGGAGGTGGCCGGCGTCGGCGCGCGTGCGTCCAGCACGCAGCTGCTTCGTGCGCTGGCACGGGAAGAAGACAGGAGAAGGGGGCCAGGTGGGCTGGGCCGCTGGGGGAAGCTGGGCCGGGCAGGTAAGCAGGTAAGTGGCCCAGGTGGCCTCTCTCCCCTTTTTTTTTCTATTTCAGTTCTGTTTTCTATTTCTGTAGTTTTGTTTCTGATTTAGTTTATAGCCCAAATCATTTTAATAAATCCTGCAAATAATTGTGGCCATTAAATGAATTATTACAAAGGCCCTTAACTATTTTCAGAATTGTTGGAGCATTTAAAAATATTAATAGTATTTAAATGCCCCAATTCAAACACAATATGGATTATTCAAAATTCCATAATGGCCCAAAAATATTGGCATCATTTTTGGTAGAGGCTTTTCACCTTTGTCAAAAATCATGAACATTTTTGGAAGCCCTTTGGACATTACTTGAAAGTATTTTAGGTGAACCTAGTGAATTCCTTTAATGCTAGGGTTTGAGCAATCCCCATTTCAAATTTCATAAAATTTAAACATGTTGCATGGATGCTAAAGCAAAAACAAACAAGGGCTGATCTGGGGCTGTGACACATTGATCGTTGGAATTGTGGTTTTAAGTTACATTATGGTGTCATGTGTAAATATTACAAACTTTTTCCTATAATATTTGCTCATACCGTTAATTTATAGATTTTCACCCTGACACAATTTCATCAAAGTCGCACCCAATGAATTTCCGCCGGCCAGAAGCCACTAGAATTAAGTTTCGTGTATGCGTGCGTTTTCCGGTCGGTCAACCGTGAAGCGCCGATTTATTCAAGATGGGAATGGGCCGGCCCGGACCTGGCCCCGTGGCCTCAAGGTCAATATGTGAGGCCATGGATCGACCCATTTCATCAAAAAATTGTGGCCTTTACTGACCCATTGGGTATATGAGGCCGACCCAAGATTAAGGGCTCCTTTGATTCAAAGGAATTCCATGGGACTTTTGGAGGGTTAGAATATTTAGGATTTTTTCCTACATTTGTCGTTTGATTCACAGGATTTAGTCCTATAGGATTTTTTTTCTATAGAATTTTTCCTATGGAATCAAGTGTACTACATTTCATTAGAAATCTAGCATCCACTTCAACCTTTTTTTTCAATTCCTTTGTTTTTCCTGTAGCGTCAAACACTCTATGTTAATCCTATAGGATTCAAGTGGACATGCCACTCAAATCCTATATTTTCCCTATTCCCACGTTTTGAAAATCCTGCAAATCAAAGAGGGCCTAAGATGGAAAATTCATGAATTCACTGGGACAGCGAGCTGTACAAGTTAGAGAGGACTAGTACAGTGACCGGGATGGCGAGCTCGACGGTGACCAAGACACGAACGACACGCTGGTTTTTCTACGTGCAAGCACCTGTCTCTTTGTCTGCTTCTTGTGTACAACGCATCTTCAACTGAATCGACCAAGTTCATATATCGTAGATGTGTCCAGGGCGTCTCGAACGGGGTCGGCCAGCAGCGACTAGGGCCTAGCGATTCGACCGGGGCGACCCGTCTGACCCATCGGGTCGCACGGTGTCGGCTCCACTGACCCATATATCATTTGAGGCCGACCCATTTGGCCCATTGGCCTTGAAATTTCGGGCCGGTACAGTGATCCAGCGGGCCGACCCGGCCCGTTCCCATCTTGACGATTGATGAGGTAAGAAATAACCGTGGGCGTCGCCGCGCATCGGGCGGCCGCGGCGGTCGGCGCTCGCGGGAACCCGACGAACGATGACCGCGACATTTTCCTAACTCGCATCGAGCGTGCGCTGTGATCAAAGCAGGCTGCTAAACTGAGGGCTAGTAGGAAATTTGTGGAAGCGTCTGGAAACGCAGCGGCATCTGTGTCAGCATATTCCTGGCTTCCACCTGGTGGCAGACCGGAAATTATCCGCACCAACGGACGGGCATATCCGGCCATCAGCCTCTCGATGCGCAGCTCGTCGTCGTCGGAGACCCCACCGCGCCACGGGACGCCCGTCGGCCGTCGAGGACAAATCTCCGGATCCTCCGTGCCCGCCCTTTCCTGTCGCCGTTTGGCTTCACGTGCGGTGCCCGCGGTTCTCAGCAATTCGGAAAGGAATCACGTGTACTACCCCAGCGGCTGAAGCACTGAACCGAACATGGGAAAACGTCAAGCCAGCAAAGACGCCACAGATCTCCATGCCTCAGAGGATCCCGGTGAGCCGGATTCCACAGCGTCCGCGTCGGACAAACACGCGGGGGTCGCCGCCGCTTGCCCTCGTCGGCGGCCAGGCAACCTTCCAGACCACCTACCATCCATCCCAGTCACAGCCACAGAACCATCCAGACGGAGCCACGTAGAGGCAGAACCCCACTCACTATCCCCAAGCAAAACGAACAATTCCCGTCCAAAAAATCAAATCCCACTTGGCGTTCGTTTGTTTAGCCGCATTATTGGAAAGCCGAGTATTTTTCTCCCTGGCACCGGAGGGAAAGCAAATATGCCTTTATTCTTTCTTGCGCGAGAAACCACGCCGCACGAACGGCAGCAAATGCTCCTCGCATTTTATTTTTCCTTTCTTTCTTGCCCGAGAAACCACGGGCGGCCACCAGACGTGTACCTACCCCCAGCCTTCGCAATGACACGCGGGCCGCGCCGGAGGGCGGACCCACGGCTCATCGAGACACCCGGAGGGCTCCGCCTTGTGGAGAAAGGCGTGGAAGGGACAGGTCACCGCGCACCTCGCCCGAAATCAATTCGTCTGAACATTAAAAAATAGTATTCAATTCGTCTGGATTTGTTTAGTCTCCCGATATTCCACTTCGCCTTTTCCTCTCCTGGCTTTATAAAACCGGCGGCTTAAACCCTTCCCTCCCCACCTCTCCATATCCGCTTCCAGACACTTCTCCCGTCCCGTTCCGTCCCCAGCCAACCTCGCATCTCCGTCTCGCGTCGCAGCGGCAGTTCCACTCCCTCGCCATGGGTAAATTGCTTGTCGAATTCCTGCTGCTTCGCTTCCTGATCTAGTTGATGGTTGATTTTTGCTGATCGATTTTGCTCTTCTGCTCTTTATGCTTGGTTTGGGACGCATGCAGGCAAGATTAAGATCGGAATCAACGGTGAGTTTTCCGTCACCTTCTCGCGCGCGACTCTGGATTCGCCGTCGGTGTTGGTGTGCCTCCGTTTTGATTCGAGTGGCTCTTTGTTTTTTCTCAGGTTTCGGAAGGATCGGGAGGCTCGTCGCCAGGGTCGCCCTCCAGAGCGACGATGTCGAGCTCGTCGCCGTCAACGACCCCTTCATCACCACCGAGTACATGGTATGCCCCTCGATCTGTGGTTTTCACCCGCTCCCATAGCCAGATCTGGTGCTCTAAAAGGTTTTAGAGCGGTTTTACATGTGATTTCTTCTGTTAGCATACCTGCTGCTTGTGTTGTTCTGTTAGTGTAGGTATAAGAGTTCGCCTGATTTTGGAGTGGTCTCTAGCTTGTTAAGAGTTCAGGCCTGATTTTGCTAGTACTATTAGTCGGCTTCTGTAGCACGGTTTTAGATACCATGATTCTGCTCGGTTGATTTGTTTAATTGAGTTGGATTCTGTGGTTTGTGTGATGTGCAGACCTACATGTTCAAGTACGACACCGTTCACGGCCACTGGAAGCACAGCGACATCAAGCTCAAGGACGACAAGACTCTGCTCTTTGGCGAGAAGCCAGTTACCGTCTTTGGCGTCAGGTACTATTGGTATTATAGCCTCTTCGGATGGTTTGTGTTAAGTTGTGAAACTAATTTTTGATGTTCTTTTGCCTAAAAGGAACCCTGAGGAGATCCCGTGGGGTGAGGCTGGTGCCGATTACGTTGTGGAATCCACCGGTGTCTTCACTGACAAGGACAAGGCCGCTGCTCACTTGAAGGTATAACTGATGTTCTGGTTTTCGCCCATTCACACTCTATTTCTGATCTATATGTATGCCTTTTCTGATCCTTTGAATACAAGGCTGAGAAAGAATCCTGTAGTTCAATTAGAAATTGTGTCCTGCTCCATGTATATTTATTTATTTATTTACGAGAAAAACACACACACACCCTCAAGGAGCGGAGAGCAAAGCAGAGTCTCCAATGCTGCTTGTCCCAATTTGTATAGTTGGTTTGGTTGCTTCTGGTATGCTAGTAGTACTGGTATGTATGCATGTGCATTGCACGTCTTAAAAGAATGGAGTTGTTTTGGAGTGTGACTCGAAAAAAGTATAATGAAGTGATATTGATAAATGAAATTCCGCCCACAATTGTTTTTAATATTCATACAAAAAACTGTACGTTCACATCTAAAATACTGGAGGTTAATTAAAAAACTGTATGTTACTCTATTATTTTTTCTTCCCATTCTCCTCGCAAACCTTCTTATCTGGGCTCAAGTCGTCATGCGCTCAAGCAGTAATATAGCCCTTGAGGCATCACATATGGGCCTTTTTTTTTCCTGGAAGGGCCACGTGAATATTCTAGAACACAGCAGAGGCAACACCAGTCTACTGTTCATGCTGAATCCGGCTGATCTTAGCCCTTGGATTTTGGAGACCAACGGTTATGATTGATGCTCTGGATCCATCTCAAAACTGGTACACTATATAGATAGTAATAGTATAGAAATACTGACTTCATGGTAGTCCACTCAAGTGTCATAGTAACCATCAATTTTATTGCTTTATCTCAAATACTGAGTTCTTCTAGTTTATTTTAATTATTTGTTTATGCTAGCTGTATGCAAGTGCCACTGTTCTTCAGGGACTTAGCTTTTGCAATGTATTTCCAACACTAGTGATGTGATGATAACTTACGTTCTTAACTGAATATTAGGGTGGTGCCAAGAAGGTGGTCATCTCTGCCCCAAGCAAAGATGCCCCTATGTTTGTGGTTGGTGTCAATGAGGACAAGTACACCTCAGACGTTAACATTGTCTCAAATGCTAGCTGCACCACTAACTGCCTTGCTCCCCTAGCTAAGGTATGTTTTGTTTCTTCTCGTTGTCTCTTACCTTGACTACTTTTGGAATTGCGGATCAGTTTATAATAATGTTTATCATCATTCACCAGATCATTAATGACAACTTCGGTATTATTGAGGGTTTGATGACCACTGTTCATGCCATCACTGGTAAGATTTTGTTGGTTGTTTGGCAGTGCTCTTAAGTTATCTGCCTTGGTAATCTCTTCAAGTTGACATTGGTGTACTTGCCTCTCAGCCACACAGAAGACCGTTGATGGTCCCTCGAGCAAGGACTGGAGAGGTGGCAGGGCCGCAAGCTTTAACATCATTCCCAGCAGCACTGGTGCTGCCAAGGTATGCCACGAACAGCATTGTGCAATTGTTTTCAGACACTATTTTAAATGGATTGCTTACTTTTTCCCCTATTGCTTGTGTTGTGCATATTGGGTCCGTGTTTTCCTTGCGAGATTATTCTGTTATTGTGAATTGATATACGTACTAAACTGCATAACTTTGGTTTCACTATCAACATAGTGCATTCTTATTTCATTTGTGGTCTTCCGGTGGACCAGAATACCAGATCAATAGATTGCAGTAATTATGGTAGCGTGCAGTTTCTATCTTAATTGGAGTACATCACTTCACCTAATGATATGATGGGTTTCAGGCTGTTGGTAAGGTTCTTCCTGAGCTGAATGGCAAGCTTACGGGTATGTCTTTCCGGGTTCCCACTGTGGATGTGTCAGTTGTTGATCTCACTGTTAGAACCGAGAAGGCTGCATCATATGATGACATCAAGAAGGCTATCAAGTAAGTCTTAAATCTTCAGTATCTCCTAAGAGAATTTTAAGAGTTATTGTTGAGAAAGATATACTTCTAATTCCTGCCTGCCTGCCCATGTGTCTCAAATGTCACTGATGAGTATGCAAATTATTTTCAGGGCTGCATCCGAGGGAAAACTCAAGGGGATCATGGGTTACGTCGAGGAGGATTTGGTCTCCACTGATTTTGTCGGTGACAGCAGGTATGCTTGATGCCTTAATGCTGCTTACAAGAGCTACCGGGTGTTATCAGATAGTAACTTTTCTTCATGTTGTATTTTCTCCATTCAGGTCGAGCATCTTTGATGCCAAGGCTGGAATTGCTCTGAACGACCACTTCGTCAAGCTTGTCTCGTGGTATGACAACGAGTGGGGTTACAGGTGAGTTGCCATAATGCATTTATTTCTACAACATGCTGTTTCATCGCTTAAGCTTCAGCCTGTGACACTTGAATCTTATTCCTCTGCAGCAACCGCGTTGTCGACCTGATCCGCCACATGGCCAAGACTCAGTAGAGCGTTCTGCTTTCGTTTGTGGCGCCTGGTCAGAGGTGTCCCTGCTTTGTCTATGCGAAGAATAAATGTGGATGGTGTCGCCAGACGACGCCTGGTTCATGTTAGTTGGACATGAGTTACCTTCTGTTTTCCGCATCAACCTCTAGTATCTGTAATGGAGTTGCTAATCAAGTACTCTTTTTTGGTTGTGGTTTGTGAAGAATATATAAATCGTTCAGTCCAGTACTCAACTCCCTTTCTGTCTGGCTTTTCGCCTCGTCCGTGGCTTGGATTTCTGCTTTTGCCTTGTTTGAGGTTCTCGTTGGTTGAGATGTTTGATGCTGCGATCCTTGTTGAGAGCCAGAACTGTGTTCGAGTTAGGACGTAATGGTGTGAAGTGTCCCTTGGGCTCAGCTTCCAAAACCAGATTTTGTGCAGCATGCGCCAGAATTGTGTTGCTGCAATGGCTTTAAGGGTCCCTCAGGATAAAGCTTTCAAAAACCAGATTTTGTGCAGCAGATTATTGAAACCCAATGTAAGAGAGGTGATGGTAGCTAGCTTGTATAGATTGATCTCTCTCACGAGTAGCAATAGAGTACTACCTCCGTCCTGGTTTATAGGTCCTCTTTGTAGTTTGTGCCAAATTTCGACTAAAGATTTAACTAACAAAATGTTAATGCATGTCAAGAAAAATTATCTCATTGGATTCGTATTTGAACATAGTTTTCAAAAATATAATGTTTAGTGACATGCGTGAACATTTTGTTAGTTTAATCTATGGTCAAAATTTGGCACGAAATACAATGGGGATTAATAAACCCGAACGAAGGTAGTAGTGATTACAGAGGAAGCTTGCAACAGGGGGAAGAAGGTAGGAGGAAAGAGCCGTCGTTGGTTCGTTCGTGATCCACTGGATACTCTCTCCTTCTGTACACCATGCTTAAGTAGCTGCATCGAGGGCAGTCCATGGGCTGGTCCAAGGGGCAGCCCCTGTATGTGTAGAGGCTCCTAACATCCCTCCCTCCTTGAAATCCGGCTTGACCCCAAGCCGGCGCCACCGAAAACCGTCCGGGTCCCATTGCACTCGATGGTCCTTGACTGGCTCAAAGTCATAGCGGCAGTTGAAGGCAGAGATGGCTTTAACAACATGGGAGTAGTAGTCATGGACGATTGCGATCCCATCGAAGGAACTGTCGAGGAAGTAGTCGTTGTGTGGTCGACGGAGCTTTGCGCGATGTGGGTTGCGACAGCGATGACACCCCTCCCTCCTTGAGAATGTTCTTGAGTTAGACCCGACATCCTCGGATTTCAATCCAGTCAACCATTTAACTGAACTAGCAGTTTCACACACTAGTGAATTACTCTTGAATCTGAGCATCTCCACACGACCATTCCCCTTAAATTCATCTTCACTCAGAAAATCCATACCACTAACATGCTCATAATCTGATTTGCCCCCTGCATTTTGTCACACCCAAAAATATGACAGCACGCTCCAGTACACGATGCTCATATCTCTATCTCTACTCCTATAAAAATCTGAGTTGATGATGATGGTGTGCCTGCCATCTATCGTTTTCGGCCGTTTGATCTGCATCCAACGCATAGGAGCCAACCCCACTTC